TTCTCAGGTCCAGAAAATCTTCTGTAACAGAGGAATGTTAAAACTAATAAACTTCCTTCAGGCTTCTCAAAGAGTCAGAATATTTTCTTAGAGAAAAACATTGCTGATGATCTTGAAACAGCCTTGACTTTTAAAAGCTTTGCTTGGAAAACTGTACTGTATTATGAAATCCAGAAGGTGATAATGTAGTAGCTCTGTGTGCATCTAGTCAAGAAATATTCACTGAATATTAATTATGAAGAAAGGGAAAATAACAACTAAAGCTCCTCTACGAAGGAGGTGGGCAGTTAAATAAGTTTTTTTTTTTTGACAAAAATAATTTACATTTTGGTCAGTTGATTTCTGTATTTTTATACAGCTGATAATTCTTGAATCAGGTGATTATTAGGCAGGTTTATAAAAAGAATTAATATTCGGTTTTGGAGACTGGCTGCCTGCAGCAATTATCTCTAAATATAAAATATATTCGTTATATCAGTAATAGTATTATTAAAGTGCTTTATATACAGTCATGCCAACTTTCAGATTTTATACAACACTGTCTAGGACATTCTTTGTAATTTGACAACCTACAATTTCATACATTCAGTACAAGAGAGGTTTTTTTTTCACTTAGGAAATGTAGTACTTTTGCAAAATCATGAACGCTGGAATGTGGAGCCATTCTGAAACATTTGATAACATACAAGACTGTTTTGTATCTAGTATGTTATCCTCCAGAACTGTCCACTGGAGAAGGAAGAAAATAGCAATCTTTAGATTCCTGTCCCCACAAAAAAAAAAAAATTGATTGTGTGCCATCAAATCAATGAGCCCTCAGCAACTACATAGATAGATTTTTCTGATTAAATTCCAACATTGACTTTCAGTGTCTCTTTTAATGAAAATAGCACTAGTTTATTCATGCTCTGATCTTGCTTTAGATTCTGGAAAGGATCAGATAAATAAAATGACACGGTTGTGATTTAAAATAAACTGGTCTTTCAATGGCCATCACTGTAACCTTTTTCAACACACATGATTTTTGGTGAAAAATACATATATGCATAAGATACAAAAATGCAGAAGGTCTGACAGTGGCAAAGTCAATGCAATATTACTATGAAAAAAACAAGTAGCCAAAGTTGTCTGGTATTCTTACTCAAAAAATTAAATACTATAAATTAAATAAAATTAAATATATATTAATTATAAATATAAATTATAAATATATATTATTTTGATCTTTTGGGGAGGAAAAATGCGCTCACCGCAAAATTTTAAAATTCCTCGGACACCAAGTATATTCCAGCTTGTTTTTTTCCTAGCATGTAGTATTTTTATAATAAATGAACTTAAATAGGATCTATGGCTACTTATTGCAAGATGCTTCTTCAGTAGTATCCATAATAATAGGATTTTATTTTCTTTCAGAAGGAAAAACAAGTTACAGCTTATCACTTGCACTTTCATCGGTTTCTGTATTTCTCAAGTGTTGTTGAGCGAGTTATTTTGTCCTAATGCTATTCTTGGAGGATTTTATCCTTATTTTTGTACAAAGTGCTGCTATCTTCTTTCATTTTATCCATTTGTGTTAGCAGTATAATTTCATCAGATTTTAATGTTATATTAAGCATTTGGTTTATTGCCACTCATGTAATTTCTGGTGTTTTTTTTTCCAGTTTTATGCAGTAACGTGGTAGTGCTTTTTGGATACTACCATATTAGCACGTTTTATAATGCCATAATTAATGTTTCTCCATGTCTTGCTGCATTTGTAATGCAATTTGCATCTGCTGGCTTCAAATCAAGGCATGAAATAGGATTGTGACAGCTGGATTCAAAGGGAAGCAGAATTGTCTTCTACCAAACTGGATTTCTTGAAAGAGTGTTTAGTCATAAAAGCATAACAGAATTACCTGTCTCAAAATGAGATTCCGTTTTTTTCCTTTCCTCCTCTTGGACAGAATTTTTTTTCTCCCTGCCTTATCCAAGTCTTACCCTCCTGGTTTTCCCACACCTCCATCATGTACCCAGTTGCTCCATGCTAGTAGCCTCTCCTTTGTGACATATTTTGTGCCTGTCCTCCCAATTTTCTCTCTCTGTTCCTCACTTTGGATCAGACTTCTGCAACTTACATCAGTTCCATTTTCTTTCATTCTTCAGCAGGGCTGTCAAACTCCCAGCCCGCAGGCCGGATGAGTCATGCACTGGCCACTGCCATGCCTGGTTTAACGAAGGGGAGGGGGGGAGTCCAGATATGTCATGTGACGACACTGATGCCACGAGTCTGACACCCCTGTTCCTCATTATTCTGCTTTCCTCAATGCTTCCAAGTTTCCTTTGTAGAACAGTCGTGCCTTAATCTGTATACCTGTGCTTCCTTCATTTGTTCTTACAAATTAAACATTGCAAATCAATTTTGATGTACTGATTGAAAATATTGCATAATAATCAACTCTTTTAAACATTCCCCCCCCTCCACTGCCAGTTATGTCCAAATGTGAAAGGATCAGAATCTCTCCCTCCCTCCACCCCACTCTTTATATTTATATTTCAGAGTTTCTCATTAAATTCCAACATTAACTTTCAGGGTCTTCTTTTAATGAAAATAGTACTAGTTTATTCATGTTCTGATCTTGCTTTAGATACGGGAAAGGATCAGAGAACTAAAAAGACAGGGTTGTGATTTAAAATCATTTCGGAAACTGGGACACAGCTGTATCCCCCCAGGTTCCAGCCCAAATTTGCATGGAGCGCTCAATCATTTGCAGATAAGGATGAGTTTCTAATTTGCCAAGTAAATCACCACATGCCAGCTTTCCATGTACATTAGCTAGTAGTCTCTCCGTTTAATTCTAAGCATAACTATGAGTCTTAGCATCTGTGGGATGTGTTGTAATCAGTTCTGTGCTGCATGTGTGGCATCCAAACAACATAGCATTAAGCCAATGATAAAAACATAAATGACAGAAGGTAATTACTTAAATACTCCAACTCTCATTTTACACAAGCCTGTTCAGCAAATTTAACTTGTTACTGGATATAGCTTTATATAATGATTTACTCTAAACTAGAAATATATATATACAATAATGCATTTTGTAAGGCTTCTGAATAAAATTATATTTTTAAAATGTTTTAATTAAATAAGATTTTCATATATTTATTCTAACTAGAGGATTGCAGATCTTTTGTTCTATTCTGTAAGCAAAAAGAACCAACTTCAATACGTTGGGATATTTATTTTACCTTTTTAATACCTTGAGGTATCAAAACTGCAACCTTCTGGTACCGGTTTTAAACCAGATTACCATAAGCATTTATTATGAATCTCTATTTCAAATTTGTCTGGTGCAAAAGATAATGGAAAAATACTGGTAATTTTTGTGTATTTTGTAATATAGAAAATAACTGCAAAAGTGAGTTGAAAAAGGACATCAATATAATAAATTGGAAAAGCAGTTGGGGTGAAACTCAACTTTTTTCATTGGGAACTCTGGAAGTTTACTGTTTGTTTTAGAAGAGTAGAAGAAGCCTAGAAGAAAGCTCCAATTTTATACAATAATTTCTACCCATGTATACAAGTAACCTATTCTACAGATTGCAGAAGACAGCAATTTGCAGCTAAAATGGAACTAACACTGATCGTTGTGCTTTGAAAGCTGAAAGTTTGTTCAATTCCAGTTAAGGAATACTATTTAAGCATTCCCATTATACCCATAAACCGAAGACAAACGTGGGTGAGCTTGAAGCACACACAGTATTCAAACAAGTCCAAAAGAAGTCTCTCCAAATGAAATGGAATGTGTGGATGACATGACTTCAAACAGGATAGAGCTAGAGGTCTTAGTCCAACTCCCTGCACAAGCAGGAGACCCTATACCATTTCAGACTAGTGACTGTCCAGTCTCTTCTTAAAAACTTCCCACAGCTTCTGGCTGCAAGCTGTTCCACTGGTTAATTGTTCTCACTGTTAGGAAGTTTCTCCTTAATTCCAGGTTCCTTCCCTCCTTGATTAGTGTCCTTCCACTGTTTCTTGTCCTGCCCTCTGGTGCTTTGGAAAATAAGTTGACCCCCATCCTCTCTGTGGCAGCCTTTCAAATACTGGAATACTGCTATGATGTCCCTTTAGAGTAGCTAAACTCAAATCTGCAACCTTGGAGACAAGAGAAAAGGGTGCTGCCTGAGACGAGAGGGGGGAGCCTACAATTGTTTTAACAGGGAACGAAACTTGGGAAAGACCTGCCCAACTGTCAAAGGGTTAAAAGTGGCAGCGCGAAATTTGTACCTTCAGACTTGCTCTGTTAATGTAGCCTTACAATTAGGTAGATTTCACAGAATCATGGAGTAACAGAGTTGCAAGGGACCTTGGAAGTCTTCTATTCCAACCCTCTGCTCAAGCATGAGAGTCCATATACCATTTCATGATTTATCTCATTTAGTCGTGTTTCCTGTATGGATTACCCAGGAGGACTGATACCAAATCATGAAAGCAGCTGAACCTTTTCCCCTGGGAAAAGTCTCACAGCTGCCTCTAGAAACTTCCAAATGTTGTGCTGGTGAGTGCATACGTAGCTACTTCAAAATATGAAGGCAGCCAGGACATGTATGTATGGGTTGGGCAACCCAAGGAAAGCAAAACTTTGTGCGTGATGATGTTATCACCAAAAGTGCTGTGACGTATTTGCATCAGACTTCCTGAAGCAATTATGTAATTAATTGCAGCATTTGTGTGAAGAGGGCAACCCTGTGATATCCCTATGGTTTGCAGTGGAGGCTGCTGGTAGTTTCACAATCTTTTTAAAAGACAAAAAGAAATGGGTTTGTGCTCCAATACATTTCAAACACCTTGCTTGAAATGCAGACCTGTAACTTGAGCGGCTGGATCCAACTCAGACAGAGATGGCACTTAGTGACCTTGATCAAAATGCTTCCAAAGGAGCATGGTATTCTAAAAAGTCAATGGCCACCCAGTTTCTATTAGAACTGCTGGAATTTATGCTGGAAGATGGCCCATAGAATGTGGCACCTTATAAGTCAGTGACTGACTTCATAACATTTTACTAAGCCACCATGTAGTTGGTTTGGTTTTTCCTTAATTCAGTACCATATGTGAACCAGCCAACTGTGACTTAGTAAACAACTGTTCCACATGATCCATTCTTTTCCATGGGAAATACAGGACAACTTATTTTTTGACAGTTGTGGTTTCTCAAAAGCCCAGATCTTTGAAATGTCTCCTCCCTGCTTCTGAAGGATAAGCCTGTTTAAGACCCTCCTACATGCATTTGCACTCCAATTTGCAAGCTCTGTGTAATGACAAATAGGAAGGGAGTCAGCTGTTTGAGATCTAAAGGAAACAGTGACTTTCTTGGCTGCTTTTTCCAAAACCAAAAGAATCTTGAAGAAGAAAAACAGGGCTGGCAGTTGGGGCTTGTTTCTTCAAGATTTCTTTTAGTTCTCGGGTCCAAAGATGACAAGAAGCAACTGTTAAAAAAAAGGTGAGTATTGTGACAAGTTTTTTTTTCTTTTCTAATCTATTTTTGCCTGTCATGATTTCAAAATATTAATCAAATCTATACTAAGGATCTCCTCCCATAGCTGTCATTATGAAATACAATGTATAACTTTGGTTCCTTTTATTCCTGTAATCCTATTGACAAAATGTGTCAATTAATATTCATTATGTGGATAGTGGAAAAACATATCAAAAAAGTGTACTTTTAAAGGAGTATTCGTATTATGCACTGGAAGGACTAATTAATGTTAGTTGCTTCAAAAGTTTTATTTGTTCTGAGAAAAACTATGGAAGGAGACCATATCTGAAAATTGAATAAGGAATAATACCGCAAATTATATGTTGATGGTGTGTTAAATTTTGTGTTAATCAGCAGTTAGAAGGCATATTCTGTTATGTATGTGCTTATTTAGGGATAAATATCTTTAGGATGGTCTTTGACCAACTGTTACAATAAAAACAATATTCCGTGCAGTTATAAATACATTTTAACAAGTGTGTAAGTCCCTTGATACATTAAATAAATAAATAAATCCTTAACAAATAATTTACTGCTACCAAAAGGAATCTACCATCCTTGTGTGACACATTGCTAAATAAGATAATTCTTACAGTATGATGGAGTAAACGGCATATATGCAAAGATAAAGTAAAATAAGGGCTATAAAAGGGTGAGCAATGCTCCAGGCAGGTATAGGAGAGGGATATTATTTATTTATGAGGAAAAAAGAATAAGCAGATTATTATATTTTACAAAGCACCTTGTTCTCACAGTAAGAAATATATGGGTATCTTAGAAGAGCTGATCATCACTACGTTCCTCTAAAAGTTTCTGATTAAGCAAATAAATACTACTTTAATGAAGTGTCTTCAAAGATGAATTCTTAAATTGGACCATAGGTATCTTCTGTGCCTGGGAATTTCACAAGTTCCAAGGAGCCACAGAACAGGTCCACCACTCCCTGAAATCCAGTCAGAGTGGCATCTATGTAGTAGGTGGGTCTATAAATTTACCAAATAAACAAATCCATCAATCTAACCACTTCTTGATGGACTGTAATCGCACCACAAGAAGTTCTCATGGTTTGTTCTTCAGCATGTTGTTTAGGGAGGAGCAAAGATACCAACTTGCATTTCTCACATCTGATTCCAACTGTTAACAATTAACCATGTCCATTCCCAATATAGGAATCTGCTTCTGCATCATGCAGCAAACGGAAGCAGAAATAGGGATCTATTTCAAATTAGTCAAACAAAATATTTTTTTCCACTTTGTTGCAAGCCCCCCTTCTTGACATAGCAACATCTATGCATCTACTGCCTAAGCTTGAAATAGTATGTAGAATTTCACAGCATGCAAACCTCCTTAGCTTCAGAAAGATAGTTATTTTCATTGGCCTTTGGATCAGATTACTTAAATCATTTTAAAAATTATGTTATGGTCAATAATTATGTCAGTCGTATGTAATAGTTTCAAACTTTTTTAAAAATAGAAAGAATCCATGTTTCAACCTTCAGAAACTGCATACATTAGAGACAGGTTAATATTTAAAATTTAAAAATGCCTCGAAAAGAACCAGTTAGGACAAAAAATAATTACCTGGACATCAGCAGACGCCTTCTGTTTTCTATGCTGTAATTATTCTGGTTGCATCCATACCGTACATTTGTGGCACTGCATTGTTGTGCTAAAACTACCACCTTCATTTTTTCTAATTAGAATCACAACAGGGCTCTTTTTGAGTTCAAATAAGCACTGAAGTTCAAGTAAGCACTGGAGTTTGGAACTGTAAGTGGCTACTTCATCACAAATGGTAGAATCAGCAGTACAAGTAGTCCTTGACTTACAACAATTTATCTAGTGACCGTTTGAAGTCACAACGGCACTGAAAAAACCACTTAAGTGTCAACTAAAAAGATACTCCTTTGGTCTTTTTAACTGCCAGAAAAAAGGGAGTGGGGGAAAACAAGGCATTCTTGAAATGCCTAGATAATCACCTCAGCAGCCCAAGGTTGTCGGAGCATAAGAAGGTTATTGGAGAGCATGATGGATGACTCTTGGAGATGGAAGTGTCCCATTGGAGAAGTCAAATCCAGGGGGTGGGGGAAAGACTAGGGTCAAGGGGGTAATGTATGATGTAATTTAGTATTGGCTGCACCCAGCCACACGCCAACATGGCAAATTCTAATAAACCAATTTACTTTTCCCTGAGATGCAGCTAGAGACTTTTGTTTTGAACGAGGGTGGATTTGTTAGAACCCTGACATTAGGACTGTTTTTTACACTTATGGCTATTGGCATCCCCAGGGTCATGTGATCAAAATTCAGGCTCTTGACAATTGACTGATATTTATGATGGTTGCAGTGTGCCAAGGTTACGTGATCCCCATTTTGCAAACGTGTGACAAGTAATATCAATAGGGAATCTAGATTCATTGTGTGACTAACTTAACAACTGCAGTGATTTCTCCATTGTGACAAGAAAGGTTGTAAAATGGGGGAAAACTCACTTAACAAATGTCTTGCTTAGCAACAGAAATTTGGGGATCAATTGTGGTTTTACGTTGAGGACTACCTGTATTTCCTGCTCCTAGTCCCTCCTTGCTATTCAACTTCTGCACAGCAGGACCATTTTGTAGAAGGGATTCCCAAGAAGTAGTTCAATTATGAGTAGCATACTTAGTCAGAGGTGGGATTTGGCAAGTTCTGACCAGTTCTGGAGAACCGGTAGCGGAAATTTTGAGTAGTTTGGACAACTGACAAATACTGGAGATTTTACAGTATCCTTCCCTTGCCATGCCCACCAAGCCACGCCCACAGAAACGGTAGTAAAAAAACCCGAATCCCATCACTGTAATTAGTGCTCCTGAAATTCTTTGGGGAAAAAGAAAGGAAGCACCTTTATAAGTCCTTCCCCCATATCCCCATCATTTTGAAAAAACTTTTTAAATTTATTTTTTATTTCTGTCAAACTTGAAAGTCCTCCAGAGAGCTATCAGGATGTGCCTTTTAGGATGTAATCCCTCTGCTTCAAATTCAGGACTTTTCAGTCTACTGCATATTCCCATCACTCCTTATAGTTTGTTTTTCTTATGTAAAAAGAAAAATGAAAAATAAATAGGATAGCCAAAGGCAGTAACTTGTGATTAGTAAAACTAGAAATTAAATATTTACAATAAAAATAAAATACAAAAATTGGAAGAACCTAAGTCTTCCATTTTAGGTATGGATCATGTTATATTTGCTTGACTTGTGGAACAAATCTGGTGTTCTAATGAAGCACATTTTTGCATACAAATTTAAAACCAAGCTTATATCCAGGATGCTGTCATGTTAGCTGAAACAGATTAATGTGGTACTATTTTAAAATAAATTCCTGGGTAATCTGACATCACTTAGAGAATTTTAAAAGGATTCAAGATCAAACAAAGGTTACCATAAATATTTTTAAAGTATTGAATCAACAAACTTCATGCCTAAATGGAATTTTCTCAGAACTAAGAGTCAGGTGGATTGGTGTTTTTACCCTTCTACCCTCCGCAAAAAAGAAGGGATAAAATTAGGAAACCTAAACCTAGATGTTAATATATTACTATGAGGGAAAAAAATTCTGACATGTCACTTGTTCTCATGTGATGTTTGTTCTAATTTTTTTTATTGATATTACAAACCCTTGACATTTAAAATATTTTTCTCAATATGGATAGAAATAATTTGTCTCAAAGTCTGTTGTCGCTGTGGTGTGTGAAAGCTGAAAAAATATCTGCAAAGGCAGATAACATGGTTTTCTTAGTTATGAATGGATTTTTCTCTTTAAAATCATATTTCTGTGCTAGCAATAGAAAACACAACAAGCTAAAAACCAAGGATGATTTAAAAAGTACTCTTTAATATTGTAGTTTAATTTCATAAGATACTGCAGAAGGGAGCGGAAGCTAGAATCTATGCAAAAATGCCAGGCACAGGGTAATGCAATGGTGTCAAAATTGCAGTGTCATGTCATCACCTGACATATCATGATTTTTTTCCTCCTTCACTAAAACAAGTGGGCATAGCCAGTGCATGACTCATCTGGCCTGTGGGCTGTGAGTCTGACACCCCTGGGGTAGTATGTAAATCATTTTAAAGCAATATTAAAGGAATGTAGAGTGGAGTGAAAGCAAGAATGCAGCACTAGCTTCAAAGTCTGAATTTGGTTGATAATTTCTCTGTTGACATAAAGTTAGGAGGTTTTCTTGCCCTATATGAATTTAATCGATTATTCATAAAAGATAACTTTTTTTCTCCTTTATAATCTTCTCCTTACTCTGGGCTCATTCTGGTCTGAGTGGCTAGGAGCACAGAGATCCAGTTTTGTTAAAATACCATAAAAAACTGTTTTTGAGATCTCAATTATTGTGGTTTATAGTTCTGTATCAGGCATTGGGGTTTTTTCCCCATCACATCATATTGTCTGTTATTTCATTTCATTCTATTTCCATGCAAGTCACTTTATGATAGTCTAATCCAGGGGTCTGCAATCTTAAACATCCATTTTCCACAGAAAAGAAAACACCGGAAGCCAATAATTTAACAACTGGTGTGACTGACGTGGCCAACACAACATCACTCACTCCCACCCAGTCACCTCCTGCTCTGGAATATGGAGCGAGTCTCCATCTTCCATCATCACCCTTACCTTCTCAGGCCAGACAAAGAGGGGCGGGGAGGGGCCAGCCATTGGTGGGATCAGCCAACAGGGAGCCGCAGCAAGGGGCCGAAAGAGCCACATGTGGCTCCAGAGCCACAGGTTGCAGACTCCTGGTCTAATCTATAGAAGCAAAATTATTGGCAGCATAACGGTGTGACTGAAAAAGGTTTTGATCAGTACTGACATAGATGTTTCTCAAAGTTTTTCTGTGACGGGAAAAAAAATCACTTAATTACATATTTTAAATGTACCTTCATTGATCAGAATACAAACTTCTTTCTAGCTCTATGGG